TTTAGATATACAAAATATTTTTTATTAAACTAAATCACATTTTCTAATTAGGGTTATTTTTCTATGATTCAAGCATCTCTTCTACTTTTGGACACTAACAATTACCTATTTATACTAAATCACCTCTCTAATTAATTAAAATTTAACAACCATTCATTTTCAATATTCTAGTTGTTTGCATGGATAACTCAAGAAGGGCACCTCCCAATCGCTGAGTATGGTAGCGAAGGCGTGGCCCCAAGTTGTTTTAATCTCCTAGTGAGAATCAAATCCCAGACCTTGGTGCTACTAAGCACCCAAGACTAGATAATTTTACCACTAGACCAACCCCTTAGAATTAATGGGTATGTCCCTTCTTTTCAGTGCACTGTGATGTTTTTTTTAGAGAAGTGATAAATCTTCCGACTTCAATTGCCGGCAATATAACGTAGTTTGGAATGAGTCGAAGAGAAAGAGATATTTACGGGAATTTTTTTAAGAGTTTCAATGGGATCCAACCACGTTGTATTCGGAGGAAGAGTCGACAATTAACGTCGGAAGATCTATCATTTTTCTTTTTTTTTATTAATACAACAACCCCATTTAGAAAGAATATATATATATATATATTTCTTCCTATTATTCTGTTGGTAAGAAATTAACTTATTATATATATTTTTTGTTTCTAATTATTTATTTATTTTTATGTTTAGTTTTAAAAACCTTTATTTTTAGGGAAAACTACATATAAGTAAAGTTAAGAGCCTTAAATAACAAATCCATCAATTTTTAAAGTTAATTTTCTATTTTGATTGGATTAAGCAAAATAATTACAAATACATCAATATTTATTGCTCAGGTCCAAAATATCCTCACATTCTTATTTTAAAATACCAAAATATCCTCCTTAAAATTATATAATTTTAATATAATAAAATAGATAATTTAAAATTAGTTTGACTAGCTAATAATAATTCTCTATCACTTATATTCCTAATCAGCTGCCAATGTCCAAGGCACCACCAACAGGTTTTCTAGATCCTCATCTCTCTCTCTTCACACACATATATAACTATAAATATGTAATAATTTTTGTTTACAAGTTTAAGAGATAGGCTTTAGAAGTATGTTATAACGTGTGAAATTAGCGATTTTGCATAGGGTTATCAATTTGGCATCTCAAAATTTGTTGTAATTTTTAATAATTGATTGAAAAAAGAAACAAATAACAACTAGAGACCTCTGGATAACAAAAAAGAAAGGCACATATGGATATCTCAATACTTCATATTACCCTACCCAAAAAAAAAAAAAAAAAAAAGGAAGAAGAAGAAGAAGAAGAAGAAGAAGAAGATACTTCATTACCATACTATCCAGAGATATGAGATCCTTGATAATTCCCATCATAGTTTTTATATCTTCTAATATATTAACAATAATAATAGCTTCATTTAGGTAACAATTGAAAATTCTTCTATTTGATATATCACCACTGCCCCATAGTGAGCTTGTGGAGCTTCCCTTTTCAATTATTGCCTTTTAGATCAGATGAAATCAATCCCAAAAGACAATCCAATGCCATGGATGACGAAGAGAAGGGATGGAGAATCTTTATTTGCTAATTAATTTAATTCTTAATTATTTATTTTAATTTTTAAAATTAGATAATTTTAAGAAGGATATTTTTGTATTTTGTAATAAGAGTGTGAGGACATTTTGGACTTTAGAAATAATTCTTAATGCATTTGTAATTATTTTATTTAATTCAATTAATGTGAAAAATTAACTTTTAAAATTGACCAATTTGTTATTTAGAGCTCCGAATCCTACTTATATGTAGTTTTCTCTTATTTTTATTTTAAAATTTTGAATTATCTGAGTATATTTCTATATATATGTTTATATTTGGGTAAAGTGCAGAAAACACTTTTACAGAGAATATCCCACCCCACGTGCAGAAAATACTTTTACAGAGAATATCCCACCCCACGTGCAGAAAACACTCCTTAACTTTCTAATTTGTGCAAATGCGTCATACCTTATATATTTAAGTTAAAATTTGTGTAAATTTCCCTTGCTCTCTCTATCTAAACTCTCACGCGAAGCCTCACTGCTTTCCCCGTCCTCTGCATTGCCTTCCCTCTCACTCCATATAATTGTATATTGGGTATAGATATCATAATAGGATCCTCTGCCGTCCAGTCCGCAACTCCCTCCCTCGTCACGGTCTACTTCAAAATAGTATACTTTTATTAGGTTGTTTCGGCATCACCTTATTGTTGTCTCACGATTGTGTACTCACCATTTCTCTCTCTTTCTCTTTCTTTTCATTGTTATAGGATAACCCTAAAATTATTCATGACATCATGATCAATTAGTATGACCAATGATTTTAGAATAAAATTAGTTTTAAAAGATAGATGGGGAAAATATTTTTAGTTTTTACTTTTTGATGTTAAGCATGACTCAAAAAGATTTGAACAAAATTTAAGAATTAAAATTACATATGAAATTGAGAATAACATTAATGTAACTCGACTTCTAATTTTTGGTCCTGCTACAACTTTTTAGATTTATAAACAAAATATTCTTTGAAGACAGAACACGTATACCAGACCCCTCTTTTTCTACTGTGCTAGTGTAAATAAATTTTTTACTTTTCAGTGTGTAACACATTGTTTCTTTTCGAATATATATATATATAAACAGATAGAGATAAACTGGTCAAAAAGTCATATTGGAAGAAACCGGTCCATGCATGCATGATGGAGCCCAAGGGTGGGCTTCCGACGAGGGCGGTGCTTAAAAGTCATTCCTTTCGGCTAATAAAAGCCAAGTGTTCATGTATAAACGGGTGACCATATATTCCTAATGTTGAGGTTCAGTGCATGTGGTCCATCATGTATGTGTGACCGTGTGCTTCATTTTTTAATTCCGACTCTTTTCCTTTTCCTTTGTCTGAATTGTGTTGTAGTAGCAAACCTGTTTGAGTAATATATTTTGAATGGTAGAATAGTTTAATTTCATCCATTTGTTTCTTAGGAATGAAGTTGGAATGCAATCAAGCAATCATACCTTTAATATATATATATATGAGAGTCATATGACCAAATAAAATCTGTGATTGTAGGCCCATTTTGGTGTAATATTGGACTACCTTTTTGGAATGCAGATAGTTTATTTATTTTATTTTATTTTATATAAAAAAAGAAATTTAAAATAAAGATTACAATAATAATAAACATATCTTATTAAAATAATAATGAAATTACATTTTTATTTCACATCATTTGGACTTTCAAAAGTGTAATTAAAAGGGTCCAAATAGAAATCTTTTAGAAATTTAAGGGGATATAAGTTAAATTTATTTTCAAACACTTTGTTTGAGAATAATGTGTAAGTGGGTGTTTGGGATTGCTTCTCTGCAATTCAAAAGCATTTTCATTACAAAAAATTGCAGTCCAATGTGTTTGGTGAAAAATAAAAAAATAATAAAAAAAAGTGCTTCATGGCAATGGTGGTTAGGTCAAGAAAACGCGTTTAAGTGAAGTTATGAATTGTAGCCTTTTAAAACTACGTTAGAGATAGAGGTTTATCTTTTTAGGTAACCAATTTTTTTTAAACAATGTAATCCCTTTAAATTTTTTATAAATACAATTTTTTTCCCTACTAAAAAAAATTCCAAACAACATCATAGTTATTCTGGGATTCTGTAACCAACTAATATCCTAGTTTACTCTAGGACTCTCCAACCACCTTCCATTTTTATATTAGTAGTAAATACAAATTCTATATCATAAACAAAATGTGATATTTAAAAAAAAAAAAAAAAAAATACAAGTTGATATTTATAAATTATTGAACTCAATGAAATTTTATAATGTTTAATATTTGGGAATTAACAAAATTTTAGTATAAAGGTAATATAGTAAAATTGGTAATAAAAGTGTTTTAAGCAACAGTATTACCAAACAAATTTAAAAGTGTTTCAAGTATAAAAAGTACTTTATACAATGTATCACCAAACGCATAACTGCATTTTAGTTACAGCAAATTTATAATAGCTCTACAAATGAAAGTACTTTCAACATTCTAATAGCAATTCCAAACGAGTTCTAAATGTTTTCAAAACTTTTTGAACCAACCAATTGAAATTTTTATTAAATTTTGGGAACCACGAGTTAGGTTTATTTACAAAGTAACTATTTTTAGGAAAGCTTTAAATAAGAATTTCGAAAAAATTTGGCATTCTTGTGCTCTGAAAATTTCAACCCTCAACTTGAAATTTAATAAAAATAAAAATGAATGAATTTGGAGGAATGAAAAGGGAATGGAAGAGACTTCTCTAAAATAAGAAGGAAGGTTTTTTTTAAAAAAAATATTTTTAATTCTTATTATCTTGTTGAATGAAAGAGAAATAAATAAATTAGGTGTTTCATTATTTGATAAAAAGTTAAAGGAAGGAAATCATTTGATAAATCATTATATATGAATTTAGAATTTTTTTTTTTTCACATAAAATTTGCATTTGGTTAAAAGTGAAGTTGATTTATACTTTCCTTCCCACTTTGTATGAAAAGAAATTGGCACGCCCTTGTACTTTTTCTTTCCTCCTTGTACTTTTTCTTTCCTCTTTTCGTACCAAACAATTAAAATATGTTATAATATTAAGCTATGTTAGTCTTATGACACTTATCAATTAAATAAAATAGGTTGAATAAAAATCAATGAGAAAAAAATAAATAATATATAAGTCTGCGAATCTAATGAAGGTTGAATAAAAATCAATGAGAAAAAAATAAATAATATATAAGTCTGCGAATCTAATATGATCATTATGTACTGATTATTTGAGTATGACTTTAATTAGTTTTATAAAAAAAATCCCTTTTCCGTTTCATCCTTCCTCTCCTCTTTACAGCTTTCCCACTTAACAATGTAATTGAGAGCCCCATCATTTTAAAGGGCTCTGTCAATTACGTGCCTTATTTGATGCGTGTATATATATATATATATATAGTCCGCTGTATTTATATGACCAAAAAGTGAGATCGTGTGGCCTCTCTTCACTGCGAACGTAGAGAGAGAGACAGTCCACCGAGGAGGAAAAGAGTGTAGTCGATTCAGATACAGTCCACCGAGGAGGAAAAGAGTGTAGTCGATTCAGTTCTTGTTGATTTGCCTGTGTAGAGGGCTCGAGGAAGAGAAGAGAAGAACGAGAATTTGGTATCTGTTTCTTCTGTATTTGTTGAGATGGAGGACAAAAGCAGCAGCAACAACAAGGAGCCAGATTATTTATCGTCTGTTATACCAGGATGGTTCTCTGAGATTAGCCCAATGTGGCCTGGTATATTTCTTTTGCTCATATTTGTATATATATATACACACACATGTATATATCTTGTGGGGTTCAAAGATTGTTGTTCTCTGTCTTTGTCGATATATCTGAAATCATATGTATATATATCATGTGGGTTCTAAGATTTCTCTCTAAAATCTCTGTTTTTGTTCATGTATCTGAAATCATGATTTAGTGCTAAAATGGGCTGAATTTTTTCCAACATTTTTCTATAATTAGATAATTTTTTTGTTGAATTCGGTCTTGTATATGCTTTTAGCCATCATCAGTCTCTTAAAATTCTGTATCAGTTTTTTTTAGGGTTTGTAATAGATGAGTTCTCTTAAAGTTCCTTGCTCTTTTCTTTTAATTCCCTATTTCTGCCAGCGTTTGAATTTTTTTTTTTTTTTTGCAATGAACCTGTATGTTCACCGATAAATGCATTAGAAATTGATAATCAAGTAATTGAATTCAATAGAGCAAAACTCAATTATTTGGTTAATTCAATTGTTTCTCAACATTACCTTCCCAACAAAAAATTTGTTTTCTCGACATTTCGCAAAAACAATAATATATCAGGCTTAAAATGTGTTTACTCCTTGATTTATACTCTGTATTTATATGCATTCTTTGATTATACCTTATTGTTTAGAGTGGATCAGTTTCTGGTGGAAGCATTTTTATTAGCTTAACACAAATTAGTAATTTAATACTATAATTTTAGAATGAATAGTAATATTGTACTAAGTAAATGCTATATCTTGAACTCTTCGTTGGTTTTTTTTTTAGGTAAAATAAATAAATAACAATTTACAAAGAAAACCAACAGATTAGCCAATGTAACCATTTTTGGTATTTAGGATCAATAATACAAAAAGGATTAGATGAGAATATAATTAGTAGATTTGGAGCAATGTGGACAAAATGGAGACATACTAGTAGTCTTTTATGCGATAAAAGAATAACAAATAAATTAAAAGAAAATTTAATAGAACAGTGATTAGGCCAACTATCTTATATGGTGAAGAGTGTTGGGCGAAGAAAGAAAAAAAAAAAAAAAAAAATCAAGAACAACGAATTCATATGGCGAAGCCAGAGTTGAAGATATTAAGATGGGTGATAGAAGTGACTGGAAGAGATAAGGTCACTAATCAAAATGTGAGAGAAATTAGAAGTGGAAGCTATTAAGGATAAAATAAGAGAAAGTACACTTGGGTGGTTTGGAGTTTGGACGTATACAAAGAAGTGCTATAGATGTACCGGCAAGAAGAGGAAGACATATTTGCATAGAAGGTACGAGACAATGTGACCAAAAAATTAAATGGGATGAAATTATTAAAAATGATTTTAGAAAGTTAAATATTCTAGGAGAATTGGCTTATAATAGGAAAGAGTGCAAAAGAGAATTCATGTGGCCAACCAGGTTCACATCTCCTGAAATATTTTTTGTACCATACTGGCCTGGTCTTGCACGTTTTGGGCTTATTGCCAATTACAGTAATCTACTTTTCATATAAATTCTTTTTTCAGTAAATAGCAAAGAAATAAACCCCTTTTCATATAAAATTTTCTTATGTGATGCTAGTCAAGGACTAGTTTGTGGCAGTGGATGATGTAATTACTCCTTTTCTTGCACTTGAGTGAGAAAAAAGTGAAATTTGTGTTCCATAAAAGATAAGTGGAATTTACATTTATGCCATGGAATTATTCTAATGAGATAAATAACGAGAAAAGGATTGTTGCCAATTACATTGGAATAGGCCATTTTTAGTATGACTACTGTCAGCTGAGTCTCAAAGTTGTAATATTTTGTGTTAATTGTTTTATATGCTGTCGCTTAAGCCATTCTCTTTAAGTTCAAAAGCTAAGTAGTCTCTTTTCCTTTTTGTTAATATTATATCTTTGGCAGCCTTTTGTAATGAATTATATTGTAAATGTGTTAAAAATTATTTTTATATTTGAACAGACACCTAAATGCTTGTTTTCCATTTTGAAGCTGAAGTAAATATTATTTTAAATCTCAATTTGATTGTTCTTGTTTAACGTGTCATAGCTGGCTTATTAACTTTCCTTTGTCTGTTCTTATGATCTTCTTTTTTTAAAAGTTTTGTTCTTATGATCTTTTGTTTTTTTTTTATATATATGATTAGTACGACTTCATACATGAAATTCTTATTTAATGAATACAGGAGAAGCACACTCATTGAAGGTGGAAAAGATTTTATTTCAGGAGAAGTCTGACTATCAAAATGTTATGGTCTTTCAGGTATCTGTTGCTTTGGAAATTGAAGATTTGTTTTGTATGTACTTCTAGGCTTCTACTTTAATTGGGCTGTTATTGTTGGGCTGTTATTGTTATGTGGTTGATTTTTGTTGCAGTCTTCAACATATGGAAAGGTTCTTGTTTTGGATGGGGTGATTCAACTCACGGAGAGGGACGAATGCGCATATCAAGAAATGATCACTCATCTTCCGCTTTGTTCAATTCCCAAACCAAAGAAGGTTTGTATACCAAATAGAGATAGATAGAGATAAGCAAAATACCATCTTCCACTTTTAGAAATGATTACTCATCTTCCACTTTTAGAACTATTGAACTATACACAAATAGAGATAGATAAAATACCCTGCTGATTTTTGCTGAGTTATTTCAGCATATGAACTATAATGAACCTATTTTATACTTATCTATGTCATATGCATGCAAGGAAAAGAAGCGTAAACTTGGGTGAAATATTTTAGAGGTTTATTGATATTAAGATGTCCATTATATTCGGTGCATATAGATCTTGAATGACTAATGAGGTCCATGAGACCATTCCAGAAGTAGTTATGTTGGCTACTTTTTCGACTAATACATACTACATGGTAAAATTAAGCATGAAATGCTCTCTCTCACACACACAAGTGGCAATTGTTCAACAAGCCCCCTTTCTGTTGCGGATTTTGAAGCCCGCGGCTTACCACTGATTGGTTCTTTCAGTTTGGCTAAGGCTGATCACAATTCAATCTTTCGGGCATAGCATAGCCTTGCTTCTTCAACATATGTCAAAGCTTATTCACAGAGAACTTATAAAGACATTATACGCAGTTAAACAGTTACTGGATTCCATTCTTTCTTTTATCTCTTATTTTTGGTGCTCAAGCTTTTTATTTTCTATGCAGGTTTTGGTTATTGGAGGAGGGGATGGTGGTGTCCTGCGAGAGGTGTCTCGCCATTCCTCGGTTGAACAGATAGATATTTGCGAAATTGATAAGATGGTAGTTGATGTGAGTCATAGTGACTTTGCTAGCTTTAAGTTTCCTTTGCCTTTCAATGAATGCTAGATTCATTCACTTTCAATTTAGCACGAGATGTTAATCTCTGGCAAGAAAGTTGATGTTTAACGTTTCTTCTTTGGACACAATTATGAATTTGGCCATTTTAATGTGCTTTTTGTGGTTTAAGTGTTTGGACCTATGAATTTTACCAGCTTGGAAATAATGAGGTATAATGCCTAAATTTGCTTCTTCTCTTTCAGGTTTCTAAACAATTTTTCCCTCATGTAGCTGTTGGTTATGAGGATCCACGTGTAAGGCTCCGTATTGGTGATGGTATGCTCGCCATTTTTCCCCTTCTTTAATAGCCTTCCGCCTTTCTCGTGTGACTTTATGCCATTTTGGGTTTCTGTGCACACTACAGGAGTTGCCTTTTTGAAAGCTGTCCCTGCCGGAACCTATGATGCCGTTATTGTGGATTCTTCTGATCCAATAGGTATGAATTTTTTTGTGACAGATTATTTGTTTTTATATTTATCAGAAACCTTCACATTTACAAGTCCTTTATTTGTATCGGTACTATTAATCAGGTCCTGCACAACAACTATTTGAAAAGCCCTTCTTCGAGTCAGTAGCAAAGGCTCTTCGTCCTGGAGGGGTTTTGTGTACTCAGGCTGAAAGCATATGGCTTCATATGCACATAATCGAAGATATTGTTGCAAATTGCCGCCAGATATTCAAGGGCTCCGTCAACTATGCATGGACCACTGTTCCCACATACCCAAGGCATGCACTTGGATCTCTCTGTCTTTTCATTTGTGTAAATTTGCAGGGCCGCGATAGTAGAAGTGGTGTATACACTAATCTGGTGGCCGGTTCTTTTCTCTTGAGGGGGTGCTTTTGGCGTTTCAATGTCCTTCACTAATAAAAGTGTGCTTCCATAATTTAAACCGGGGCTGTTGTATATCGTATCTGAGATTATGAGGGTTATACTCATTCATTTCACTGACATTTGTTTTTTTTCATGGAAGAAATTTTAACTGTGAATATTATTGATCAATTTCATTTCAGTGGAGTGATTGGTTTCATGCTTTGCTCGACTGAGGGCCCCCCAGTAGATTTCAAGCATCCAGTCAACCCAATAGATGCAGACGAGAGTCATTGCAATTCGAAAGGACCTTTGAAATTCTACAATTCAGAGGTGTGGTTCTGCCCCTACCTGGCAAATGCTTTAACTCTCTTTCTTCCTACTTCATTTTTGTTTTTCATTTCTGTTTTTCTTCTTGGTTTTTTCTCTCCCAGATTCATTCTGCAGCGTTCTGCTTGCCATCTTTCGCCAAAAAGGTGATCGATTCCAAAGCTAAATAAGGAAAATTTTCAGAGCATTTGAGGAGCCGGATTATATTGTTTTTAGCATCCCGGCTTTCAACCTCACTAAATGGTCTAATTAGCAATGGAACCCTAGAATAAGTTGAGAGTTAAATTGATATTCTGAGTAGGCTGTAGTGTTGGATGGTGATTGTTTTAGGTTATAGTTCGATTTCTCTTTCTTCAGTTCCACATTTGCAGATGGCAGTTTTATGTACGGATAATATATATTCCTTTGGTTGTTATCTCTTGTATTTTAGTGGTTTTGGGATGAAATCAAAGATTTAATTTTGTTTGTGAAAATACAAACACTGAGTCAAATTTTGAGAATAGGATATTAAAAACACTTGCAAGTAGCAGCCTTAATATTACCGGATAGAATAAAGACCGGCGAAATTCTTGTTATACAAATACTGGAGAGGAACGGAAGGAGCTTGTTGATTGAAATGTATGTAGTGTGTGTATATATGTATATATGTTTTTATTTTGATTGGAGTTGTATGCTTAACACTGAGGAAAGCTTCAAGTGTAAGGCTTGAAGTCCTTGGCATCCTACTCCGCAGAGGGTGCCACTTAATTTCCTCCCATTCCCAACCACATACAACCTGTTCTTGGAATTTTCCGATATTATCTTTATTTATTATATTTTTATAAGAAATGTTTTGCTTTTTACATATTAAATTGTTAAATTTAAATAGCCACGTATAAAATAAAATAATTTTTTTTTAAAAAGGCCAATCGACCACTTACTATAGAGGAGGAGAATGAATTCCATGATCTAGGTCTTGAATCTATAGGTTCTTGATCTAGGTCTAGTTCGAGATTGAAGTTGAATTCATCAGATGAGGCATGTCAAATAATTTGTTAAAAATTGATGAATAAGTTATTTTTGTTAGTTTTTAATATTTTATTTACTCACTTACCATAGACAGGAGAATGAATTCCATGATCTAGGTCTTGAATCTATAGGTTCTTTTCTAATATTTGCCCCCACAATAAATAAAAAATTAAATTAAATTAAAACATTTAGGCTCAGTTTGTTTTAGCCTAAATGTTTTCTAAGGCTGTTGTAAAATATTTACAAAGAAATAAAATATTAAAAACTAATAAAAATAACTTATTCATCAATTTTCAATAAGTTATTTGACACGCCTCATCCGATAAATTCGACTTCAATCTTGAATTAGATATTTATCAAACACCAAAAAAAATATTTAATAGAAAATATTTTTAGTCTTACTTCAATTTTATATGACCGTTTGGAAAGAATGGAAGTATAGATATGGTCGAGCAAAATATAACTATTGTCACTAAAGTTTTTTTTTGGAAAATGAAATTAACTATTGTCATTAAAGTTGCATAGTATTGTGGGAGCACTCTTAAAGTTGCATAGTGTCACACTGTCACTAATGACTTAAAAGGACATGGTGATAATTGTTTAAAAAGATCTAAGATTGATGTTAGGATTCAAGTACAATTAAATATAAATTAATTTGACATTCCAACATTATATTCTATGGGGTGCCAAAAATAGTTTTTTTTTTATTGAGTGTTTCTCGTATTGGCGACCAAAATTATATTTTATGAGTGCTGATTTGAGTGAGTGGTCCTTTTCCATAAAACAAAAAATAAAAATAAATAAAACTTATGTCTTCGGATACACAAAGGATGTGTCAAATCTTCAAATAGGATGACACATAGACACAGCTAATTATTCATATTATTTAATAAAATAATATAATGTCTTTATGTAATATAGTGTTTAATATAGAATTCATTCATTTTGAAGCAATAATATAATAAAATTAAATTATTAAATGTGTTTTTTAGGAACATGTCCAACAAAAAATAATGGACACATATCCCTTACTCATGTATGAGTAATGTGTGTCGAACACAAGTACTATACCTTCTTTGACTAGTCCATGCATCATAGAGGATTAGTGTTCTTAGCCGTTTTTTTTTTTTTTTTAATTTATGATTATTATTATGACGATAATTAATTACTATCCTTTTGGGTCTCTTGTTATGTATAATTATTATACTAACCTCATACCCTTAGAAAGAAATTGAGAAACAATTCGCAAAAATTCTCTCTTTATAAACCTTCACGATTCTATCTCACTCTAAAATTTTCTTTGTACAAAAGTCCATATCTAAATGTTTGAATTTCAAACTCTAAAATTTTATTTTTTACAGAAGTTAATGTCTAAATGTTTGAAGTTCAAATCTGAATTTTTTCAGATCCATATTATTTGTATTTGAAGTATTGCTCTGATTTTTCAGATTAAAAAAAAATTAAAAAATCAGGTCAAAAAGTATCATAATCTAGTTCTCTCTCTAAAATTTTCTTTATCTAATTTTTTCAGATTCCTATTTTCTGTTTTGAAGTATTCGATTGTTTTTCTAGATAAAAATAAAAATCAAATGAAAAAAAAGTATAATCTGATTTTCTTGTATACGTCCTTTTCTCTCTCTAAAAAAATTAACTTTCAGCTTCGATTCTCTTTAGATCTGATTTTTTCAGATCCATAGTCTCTATATTCGAAGTGTAGCTCTGGTTTTTCATAAATAAAATAATAATAATAATAAATAATAAATAATATAAAAGAAGAAGAAGAAGAAATTAGATGAAAATTCATGTATTCCTTCTTTTCCCTTGGTTATGGTCTCTCTAACCAAACTCTTTTTGCGTTGCCCAATTTCAACAGTATTTTGGTTAAGAACAACGATACCACAATTAATTTCCGTCGAATGCTCCGACTAAAAGTTGATAATCACGACACCTTTTGGTTGTGAATTATTATCTTTTTCTTATTTCTTTTTAATGAGTTCATACTTCATACTAAACAACAGATTCTCTCTATGTATCATGAACGATGATGCTGAAATATATGGATGGTTTTCATTTTGGGGGAAAAGGGTAGGAGGACAATAGGGTAATTACCAAAAATGAGATAACTAATAAAAATCTGACTTAGAAATTAACAATTCTTGGAAAAAGAATACATGCGTCAGTCGCGGGCTCTTATTATTTTGTTAAAATGCTACACTTCTGCCTTGGAATTATGAATGTGAAACAGTGCTTTAATTGTTTTGGAAATTTCAATATTCTGGTAGAACATGCTGCCTTGTGGGCCATAAACGCTACAATTATTTCTGAACAGAAAAACAATACTATAATGTTACAACTATAATAATACTATTGTGGTTTAAGTCAAACATTAATACGACACGTTTAATTAGTATGTCAATTTGTATCGACACAATTACGACACAAACACGATTAATCCAAACTTAAATCCACCTCCCTATCTCATGTCATGGTCGTATCATTAGTATGTCGTGTCAAATATTGTCACCACTATTGGTACGATTTGCCAAAAAATTTTGATTTAGAGGCTAAATTAGAATTTTCTAAAAATTATTTTAATGAAAAATTACAATATTATCCTAGTTTTGAAGTTTAAAAGCAATTAAATCCTATAAAATTTTTATTAAGACAAAGAGGGACGTACCATTGAAAGTTCTATAAAAACTAGAATGTCTCTCTCTTCGTAAACTTATTTCCATCTCTTTCTCTTCATAAACTTATTTCCATCACGCTACTTCATCACTGAGTTCATGCACCACGTGTTGTACTCGAATTTAGGTATTAACATATATACACAGAGTTAAATAACTTTTTGTTGCATTACTGGACCAGCTTTAAATCATTGTCAGACTTTAAAAATCATTTATATATATATATATATATATATCAATACCTATAACATGCCCAACATTAGTACTTGGTGCATAAACAAATACAACTGGGGCTTCAAGGACATAGTTCAATAATCATCTCCAATAATTTCATTATTTCTGTAAGTGAATTTTATATATAATAACACACGGCTTGAACAAAAAACTGTTGGGTATGAGAGTATGGTTTTGTCTATATATATAGATACAAACACACACAGCGGGTGTCAATTAAAGGGAAACACATGTTTACGATGACTTTAGCATTAGAATTGAAGGAAATAAGGGATGGATTTCATTAATGATGGGTACTTTAGTATTACGGGCAATATTGGAAGAAAAAAAAAGTTCATAAAGTTCAAATTTGAACTTATTTGGAATTTCAAAAATAAACTCTCTTGCCCAAATAAAATTTTTATAGGACTTAAGAGTAACTCAGAGCAGTGTGTTAAAAAGACTATTTTGTGTAAAAAAAATTTATGTCCAACAATATGTTAAGACAAGTAGTCACTTTCATTTGGAGTTATCTAACTCTTCCTCTTTTGGAGATGTTGTCTGATGATCTAATTATATCTATGTTTAAATTTTTTACTAATATTTTGTCACTATTTAATGCTAAAAATGGATCATCAAGAAAGTTTAAATTTAATTAGTTCATGTTAATGCTTAATGTTAATACTTTAAGCCTTACACTGAGTAAGCCTCTCCATGTTGCCAATCTTTTTTTTCCCCTTGTTCTTGAGCCATCTGTTTTCTAAATGATAGCTTGATATTGGTCTTTGCACGTCACCCCAAGGCATCGAGAAATTATACAATGCCCCAGCCCTTAGTATCTCCACCTAAAGCAGAGTCGTATTTTTTCTTGAAAACTTTTAATTTCTCTTATATCAAGACAAATTAAGAAATTCGCTTTGAGTGAGAGTGCAACATGTAATTACCCCTGGAATATTGTATACTTGCTCAAGGGGCTTGTGACATTCAAGTGGTTGAGGAACAAATGGCACAAGCTCTCTTCCAAGCAAGCCTTACCCAAAAAAAAAAAACACAAATGATGATTTAGGAAAAAAAAAAAAAAAAAAAAACCCTATTGATGGGCAGACAGTCTTATTACAAACTCACCCAAGTGGCTAACTGAATCAAACCAATACTTAATTTTGGTATACTTGAACTTGTGCTTCTAACCCGCACAGGTGGCCATATGGATAAGGGGTCTCCTTGGACGAACCGTAAACTCACGGACATCCCGGATGATTGTACGTCTCCGAAGTTTGCAAAACCATCCGTTATGGTGGCTAGCTAACGAATATAAAATACAGCTTCTATAACATACCTCTAGTGGGGCTCGAACTCTCAACAGATTATACCATCCGGTCTAGTGACACTGGTACAATAAGTGGTGCTTCTGCATCAGCATCTTCAACTTCTGTTTCTACTCCCTCATTGATAAAAGTTCCATTTCTGCAATCAAAGAAGTAAACCATGCAGACCACCCACTTCATCACATTTCCCACACAAAACAAGCCAACCTGTGCAACAACTCCTCCTCCGACTTCCTTATAGCAGCCGACATATAGACACGGCAACCTCAAACCAAAACCCCAAACAAAGAAAACAAGCATAAAAAGTAGTCCATCCCTTCTGCTACGCCTGCTAAAATGATCCGACAGCGCCAATGCTTCGGTCCCATACAACCCCTCCACAACAGAAATCACAATACTCATGTTCCACACAGCACTCCACTCCAAGTACTTTGTTAGCAGTGCTATAAAAGCTGCCACGAAGAAACAACCATAGAAAATGTTTCTTGAAATGAAGTAGTAGTTTATTACTAACCATGTCAACCCTAGAAGTGTGCAAGTTGACAGGAAGAGAACATACATAGATGTGATACTAGGGCCTCTAAACCTTGTTGCTTTGGTTGATTTATGTACCATCTCTCTGATTGTCACTTTTGTAACTCCTTTATGCATCTTTGATGCTAAATCGACAGTCAAAATAGCATTGAAGAGCTCTAGGAGATGAAGGGGCACAAGATAGAGGAAACACATTTGAATCAAATTAACAACAAATTTTTTCGAAAATCGGCCTTCTATGTAGGTTGGTACTGGCCAATTATAGTCAAAGTAACCGTCGTATGCCGGATCTAGAATTTCCGAGGCTTGGACCAGTGTTCTTTGGAATAGAATTTCATACAAAACCATGAAGCAGAAAAGGGGAAGGGAAGTTAGCAAGGTGAAGATTATGAAGTTGGTGTTTCTGAGAGGGATTGATAGAGCTTCTTTGAGTATGCCAGAGAATTTCAACCTCTCCTTCAGCATAACATGGTTGCTCTCCATCTCTGTGCCTTCAGATTCTGGTCTCTACTCTGAAATGGAGTAGATCTTACGAGAAGATGAAGTTTTCTAATGCATATTGACTAGTGTAGTCAACAAACAGCTAATAATGGAGCAGACTTTGACTTTTGTGCTCAAATTTGTCTGGTAGACGAGGGAAAAATAAAAATTGATAAATTAGCTTGATGAAATTAAAATTCAAAAAATTTCATTATTTAACAAAAACAGAACACAGACGTGAGAGTAAAATCCGGCTCCTCAAATGGCACAAACGCTCTTTCAAGCAAGTCTCACAATTATTCTGAAGAAAAAGCTAAAGACTGATCAATAGAGGTGGACAAGAGGGCTCAATCAAACCAGCACTTGATTTAGGGTTTTGCAAATAGTTAAAGCATCAACAGCTGCTGCTGCTACCATTTATTTCTTCGAATGTAAAGCGCGCGCACACAAACAACATGCCTCTAGCAAGGCTCGAACTCTCTCTCAACAGTTTATACCATCCAAGCTGGTGGCCCGGTCCTATAGAAGCTTCAACATCTGCTACTAGCTCATTGAGAAATGTTCAATTTATGCAAGCACAGGTTGAACTGAAACTGACCCTTTCGACAAATTAACAAATCTCCACTTGGGTACCTGATCATTCTTATTATTTTAAGGCCAGATTTGCTGGATTTCATCATTATTCTAAACTTTTTCTTGCCAAGTACTTGAGCTAATGCAACCAAAATTTGCTTTTTTAATAAAATTTCAGCACAACTTTAGATTCGTTGGCAAGAATCACATTCAAAAAAACCTGTTGAAAGCCAAACTTAGTTGACCTGTAGAGAGAGCTTGCTGAAATTCAAAACCAGGCTCATAACATCTAGCGTTTGTTACTTGCCATGGCTTGGATAACAAATTCACCAATTCTTATATATATATATATATATATATATATATATAGAGAGAGAGAGAGAGAGAGGCATAGGGCGTGGGAATGGCAACTACAATTTTAAAGCTCCTTTTCAGACTCGTAACAAATCATTTTTTTATTATTATTTACTTTTTTCCCTTCTCCTCACAGTAGTCTTATAAGCTATAAAGAAGAAATCTTCCACCAAAGAAAAGGACCACCGTACACCATCATGCACAAACTCGCTGAAAGAAACTTAGTAGATTAATAACCACCCCCCAAAGTGGCATTGATTTCCAAAGAAAACTGGTGCTTGGCTAACCACATCCCAGAGCGACATTGATTTCCAATATATATAAATATTGACCAGTTCAAATGCACAGTTAAATAGCAATCAGTTGATTACCTTTCCAAATGCACAGTTAAATAGCAATCAGTTTGTTACCATGGGCAACCACGGAGGTTATTCTCTTTGGGCCAAGTCAATATCATAAACATTAAGACTTCGCCACCACAGCTTGAAACGTCGTAAGCCAAAAAGCAAAAACAGCTTCATCTTCTGCAATCCACAGGCAGGAAAGTAAAGGTCTAACATCGATGAGTAGATGATGTAGTGCAGAGAAGCAGACGCGGTGGTAAAGCGTGTGCACTAAGCAGTAAGTGGCGAAATGCTGTCGTTTTAGCCGTAAATCGACCTCAAAACACAAAATATGGAATCTTTTAGAAACATCTACTTCAAACAGCTTAAGTTATGACAATTAACTTCAGACAAAACAAAAACATATAAACAACAATAGGGTGGCAATTTAAAGTACGAAAGTGGACTCCAAGTTTCGGTAACCTGAATAGGGCATGCTGACGCAAACAGGAGTCCAAAGCACCCATTTTGGCAGCTAAACAGCGTTGAAGGTATCCAAAGCCAGGTGCAAAACACACCCAATTGTCATCAAATGAACTAAATAATCCTACTCTTGTTTGTTAACCAATCCTATCAGGACTACAGTACAGCAGACGGATCATCCTTTGTCGCTATTTACCATTTTTCTTCAGCTCCTGTCCCAAGCCTTAATCACTGCCAAATCACCACCAACTCATATAAGCTTGAAAATACTTGCAAGATACTAACCGCACAGAGAGAGATAGATAGAGAGAAGGCACAACAGAAAATTCTACGAAGGGATGACATCACTTGTGGAATAAATAAATACACGAGTGATCTCGTCCAATATAAAGGGCCAATTTAAAATGAGGCCCACAGCGGATAATTCTATGACCGGCCCCTAACCATCATCCATATGATTTCCCTTTGCTAATTTTTGGGACAGGCAGTGATTTTTCTTTTCTCTTAGCTGTGTATATATTGGAAAGAAGGGGGCAACTGTCTATTGCAGAATAAGCATTGCAAATCATTCAACAGAGCAATTGATCGAGATGGTCATAAAATGGTCTCTTTTACGAGTTTTATTTTCTGGCAGTAGTAAATTCAAATGGAAGTCTCCAACCACAATAACAATTAATAGTACCATATAGTTTTGCCGTTTAATGGCTTGAGAATAATAATCTTTTGTGTGAAACTACGAAAAATCCCATTAATCCAATCATGGCATTCACACTAGAATAAAGTAAGTTGTGATGCCCAGCATTAATATGATGATGACCTACTGTAGCCGTGGCCCGTGGCCATGGCCAAGAGATATGCTATGAATGTTGGAGCAATAACTAGTATATGCATGACAAAAGTAAATTGACAAGTTAATGGATATGTGAGAATTTTCTGTGCAGGGAATAGTTATATACCCGTTAGCATAGGGTGAACCACGACGAGCACGTCGATATGGAGGTGACCTGCTGTAGCTACGTCCACGAAGAGGTGAGATGCTGCGGCGTCGTGGAGATCTTCTCCCACGGGGGCTGTAACTCCTGCCACAATGAGCAAACCTTATGACAATACAGGATTTAAAATATACAAACTTGTAAAAGAGTCGGTGTGCAGAAAATGCTACACTTTCTCTTTTCTTTCTTTTTTTTCTTTTTTTTTTCTTTTTTTTTTTTTGTTGGGTTAAATAAAGGTGATGCCCCTTCCACAGCCATACAGGTCTAAAAATTATTTATTCCAGTAATATCTGCAATATCTCATCAGATGTCATTCCTATAATTTTCAAACCAAAATTATATCAAATTACTTTATAGATTCTCCAATGATCAGTCCCAAGCCATGTTTTAAACAAAATATCATGCCATCCACTAGTGCAAATACTGATAAATATAAATTTAAAATATAGAACATGTTACAGACAATACAATACTACCATCAAAAGTTTCAATATAATTCTGCTAATAAGTACATAAAAGGTAAGAAAAGATAATTGATCAATATAGATTCAAAAGAATTTCATTTATTTAGCTAGGTGAGTCTCAAAAGCATATAATACAACATGGGATCAAATTACATTATTTTTCAGCCAATGATGCCTCAACAGCAACCACGCATCAACAACAACAACGCATAATCTCTAATTAATTAGATTTTGAGTTATCCATGTGAAAAATACAGAATTCTTGTTAAGAATTGCACAAACTACAAAGAATATCTACACATATGAAAAGACAACAATATGCTAGAATAGGTCTTGAAAAAAAAAAATAAGACAAACAAAAATATTCTAAAATGCAAGTATAACTGAAATTTACAGAATACAGAAAATAAGTATCAAAAACTCCATTAGGGGACTGTGTTGGGTTCAACAAGGCATAACTCAACACCCAAATAGAAAAGTTTAAAAAACAATGTAACCCCAAGGACGGGATTTATTATGGCAGAACCAAAACCACAGTTCTGAAAATACTAACATCATATAACACATTCATGGAATAATTATGAGAGACCAAAATTATTTAGAAGGATATTCTATGCTTATAAATTCCTGGCCTTAAACATTATAGGCCCAACAAAATCAAATTGGAATAAAAAAATTAAAGAAAAAGAAATTGCAAGTAGAGGGGTAAAACAGGAAGATAAGAGATGTAAAACGGAAAAAAAGAAGTATATGTAGGAAATAATTAATGAAGAATTACATGTCTTCGTTACCATATAATGCCACACTAATCTAACAGTATTAGATAGCTGTTCCATAATTTAAGATCCACATAATAGGGTTAATTACTTAATTAAAGAATTTAATCACAAATTGCCCAACAATGCTGCCACTGCCAGTGAGATTTTTGCACTGGAGAATACATATCATGATTGTTTCACAGCTCAAAACTTGCTCCATAACAACGTTCTAACTCCCTGACAGTGAAAAAAGCAATGCTGCCAAATTCCAGGATGATTGCATGAAAAAGATTACATGTTTTTCATGAATTTAAACTCAGAATTCAGAAAAGGTATAGCAGCTTGTAAGATTTCAACAGAAGTACCGACAATATAATCTTTAAACATGCAATTCATAACCTAAAAAACAAAAACAGAGACAGAAAAAACCAAGGAACGCACCTACGACCATAACTTGGGCTCCTACGTCGTCGAGGGCTGGGACTTCGACGACGCCCGCTTCCTAAGCCTCGTGAACCAATGCGCAAGCGACATTCTCGAGCAAAATGACCGGGTTCACCACATTCATAACAGTTCAAGTCATCACCACCACGTCCACGCCCACCCCCACCACGGCCTCCACCACCTCCCTTAGAATTGTGTGAAAGTTCCACGCGCCAACCATTCTTCCCTATTAGATCGAATTCCATCTAAATGAAAACCTCAGAGGTTTACAAAACAGGATAGAAACAATGATCATTGCTCAGAACCTATAATGATACAAAAGATTGTTGTCCAGCAGAGTCTTAAACAGGACAGACACTTACTGGTTTTACATTAAGAATATTAGGAACTTAGAGAATTAAATATTATCGTAAGGCTTAGATTTGGAACCATAAAAGAATGTAATTTTTAAAGTGAAAATATGGAAACAATTCCAATTGCAAGAGTTAAAGCTTTTGGACAGCAGAAAATAAGGACCAACACATAAATGACAATCAATCCACCACCAATGTTTCACATTCCGGTAATTAAGTGAAACAACATGTTCAGTTAATTTTTTTAAATATCATAACAAAATGACGAATACAATTCTCTGCAATATATATATATATATATATATATATATATATATCAACATAAATATAAATTAATTAAAATGATCATGAGACATATGCACACACAGTTTGCAATTTACAGTATAAGCAATAAAAACCATGCCTCCACTAGCAAGAAACAGGCTTTCAAGGATGGATGCCACACAACCATTAAAAGGTCAGTATGACACCTACAATAAGAGCAATTAACATATTGCTAGAAACAGTTTATCTGTTGCAATAAGTTAGGGCAGCAAGATACATAAGAATATACACATTCAAAGAAAACAATTAGGTAAGTGAAAGAAGCACCGAAATGATCAAGTGTTTTTGACAACTAATACAGACATGAAGGTACATTTTATGCCTACCATCCAATGCATGAATTGCATCTAGAGCATCCCTACGATCATCAAACTCGACAAATGCATAACCAGGTGGTCTTCTAGCAACCCAAACACTGCATTAATTCCACTAACATGTAAGAGGCCAACAACAATCATAAATGCAAAATACAAAGTTAAAATAAAATAATAGTTTACAAAAATAAATCTCAAATGGAACCAACCACAACAGAAGAGGTTAGTCAACTTTCATCCTTTTATATTTCACAATGAGAAGGGAAAGGTCAAACATAACTATTGCATAACAAATCTGCCATTGACATGACCAGGGTATCGTAGTTAGAACTATCTAGTGGCAACAAGGGCAGCAATGTATCACAAACTATGAATCAAGTTTAAAAGGGAAGAGGGGAGAATTGACAAAACTAAACGTATGTTAGTGCAGGTAGACTGGCACATGTGTGCACTTGCACAAACTTTTCATTGCCTCGTTTGGATTGAGGGATTTAGAGGTATTTGGAGAGAAAAGAAAGGGAAGGATAGTATTTAGTGTGTTTGGATGGAGGGAATAGAAGAGAAAGGAAAGGATTGGGAAGGATTTGGAGGGATAGCCTATCCCTCCAAATCCCTCCGACACAGTAAAACCAAATCCTCCCACTTTTGAGAAGATTTGAGGGGAAAGGAAGCTAAAGACAAAATTAGCCTTGTATATTTTCAGTTTGCAGTTGCAGAGAGAGAGAGAGGGCAAGTTCAGAGTTGAGAACGAGAGAGAGATGGAGGCTGAAATGATTTGCTTTCTTTATATATATATATATACATACATACATACAAATATATATATATATATATATACACACACACACACATACAAGGGTCTTGACTCTTGAGATTGCGCTTCAACCAAAGTGACGACTCTAGAGAAGGAGATTGGCTATGGTGGTTTAACGATCAGGTGAGTTCCTCTTAACAGTATTTATCACCTTTCATCTCCAATGATTTATACATTCAGTAAAATGGTAGTTCGTTTTTTAGATTCAACAATCCATAAATTGTATGCCCTTCAAACCCATCAGCTATCTTCTTCATCTCTTAAATCCATCTCAACTTCTTCCACAAATCAACACTCATTTACAGTAAATTACCTCATCAATTCATGTGGATTGAGTCCGAAACTGCTATTTCAGCTTCTGAACACGTCAATTTCAAAACCCTAGACGAACCAGATATCAGCTATCATCACAAGACACCCAAAACTTCTCTTATCGGATCCCAAGAAGACCCTCTTGCCCAAATTCGAGTTCTTCTACTCCACTGGCATTTCCAGCACTGAGGTCGCGAAGGTATTATTCTTCTGCCCAACTGTATTGACACGAAGCTTGGAGAACCAAAACCCATTACATACAAGTTAGCAGTTGCAGAGAGAGAGAGAGAGAGATGGGAGGAGAGTAACGAGAACAGAGGTGGAGGCATTTTTGGGGTGGCTGAAATGATTTGCCCTACTAACCCTACAAAAAGGGTAAAATAGTAATTTTAATTATTATTTTCCTTTCTTTTCTCTCCTCTATGTTATCCAAACAAGAATATTATCCATTCTTTTCTTTTCTCTCTTATCTATCAAACATGAATATAAATTATAGTTATCCTTTCCTTTCTTTTCCTTTCTTTTCTTTTCTCTTATAATTCTTTCCTTTCTTTTCTTTCCTGTGTATCCAAACGAAGCCAAAGGGGAGAATTGACAAAACTAAACGTATGTTAGTGCAGGTACACTGGCACATGTGTGCACTTGCACAAAGTTTTCATTTGATTGGTTGGTAATATTTGTTACTATGAACTTGTACCACTCTTAACAAAGATTAGAACTACAGTTTTTTTCTAAGCTCAACCCTTATCAACATGTGTGGAATATATCAGTAAAATAACATTATAGTTCTTGTTGACATACGTTGCTTTATTACTACTGCTACCGACAAAATTTTAGAAACTAGAGATACACACTTGATTAGGTATAGAAGAATTACTCATGTAGGACACAAAAACTGGGGGGCCAAGTCTAGTTACTATTTGACTAGGCTTCTAAGTAAGGCCTATATAATCAAATTTGGTTTGGTTTAGACAGTTCAATTTTGTTCCAATATTCAAGGAAGCATATGACTGATTTGTTTCTATTTTACCCTCTAAACAAAACTGTGTGCCCCTCCAATGCAGCATGTTCACACACACACACACACAGAGGGAAAGAAACTTCTTGGATCCTAGACTGTCAGAAAAATTCATAACCGTGGATGGTAAATATAGATTACAATTCACATAAAACCACATGGTGGTTTTTTCATTGGAGTTGGAATTATTGATACAATGACACACAGCTGAACTGTCAAAGGTGTCAACTTTCCTTCTTTTATCCTTAAATGGCAGAACAAATATACATATATACAAATATATTAACAAAGCATCTTAGAAACTACTAACTGAAACACATAATCAGAGTTGTTATTATTAGAAATTAACCAATGAATTCGCAGCTCCAGACCAACCCATCACGGATATATCATATATCGTATTCAATCAGATCACACATATATTCCAGTAACAGTACTGAAATTTACCTCCGAAGAACGCCGTAGATTCGGAATTCATCCTCCAGTTCTCTTTCCGTGACTCGGGAATCCAAATTCCCAACATAAACTCGAGACATCGTCGTGGCCCACTGATCATAAAACAGAAATACTATATCTTAACTTTCAAGTAAATATATATATATAAATGTTGTGTTAGATATATATGTATAGAGAGAGAGAGAGAGAGAGAGATATAGATAGATATACTAGAAAGTAAATGTTTTGTTACATAAAACAGGAATTTTTAACAAACCCTAGTTTCGCTGATTATTTGCATCAGCGAAACTAGGGTTTCATGTATATACAGATATATTCGGATGCACAAAAGAGATCAATTTGAGAGCATAAATGAAAATTTAGGGGTCACCTTGAAGAGATTTCTAGGGTTTGTGCTTTCGATTGAGATTGAATACTTTTTGATTTTTCTGTTGCACAACCGTCAAAAAGTTCAAAAGAAAAAGGGTCGTTTTGGAATTATACAGTATAATGTAGGACACTGTTACCAGTGTGTGGACATGAGAAAGAAAAAAATGAAAGTAAATGATAAGTCAAGTGAAACTAAAAAATCAAAGCCACTCGCTTACTGGGATGTCAATTTTTACCGCTCCGTCGGGGCCCATTCCATTTCGCCCTATTAATAATGAATATGGGAATACTTGTTATACCATTGGGGCGGATATGGATACAAATTTTGTACCTGTCGAGGGTCATGGGGCGGGTAAGGGTTCAATATACATATTCTAGGGGCCCTGCCCCGCATATAACTATATTTAATATATATATATATATATATATATATATATATATTAATAAGTTATTTTAACGACTTACCCAATTACCTATCTCTTATAATCCTAATTTGGGATGTAAACTTGGTATTAAATTTGCTTTTGTTTTGGTTATGGTGGAAGTTGGAGCTTAGAACTTCTTGTGATTTGGTTGTATTAAACTTTTATTTTTGTTTATTGTGAATTATGTTATGTACGTGTTATTTTTTATTTATTTATTAGGATACATAATTTTATTTATGTTGTGTCATTCCTAGACTTTACACATTTAAATAACAGGAGTTTAAGTTCCAAAAAGTGGAAAAAAAAAAATTTGTTAGTGGGGCGGGCACGGGGGCACAGTATTTCCTAACGGGGCGGGGTTGGATATGAAAATCCAACCCGTCGCGGGTCTCGGGACGGGTATGGACTTGACAAAAATTAAAAGGGGCGGGACGGGATTTAGAGAAACCTGCTCCAAACCCGCCCCGTTGCCATCCCTACTCGCGCATGCGTTTTGTTATAAAGTAAAATATTAAAACACTTCGTCAATAATAGTCCAAAATTAAAATACTAAAAGTTAATTTTTTTTATTTTTTTATAATTATTTATGATCCAAAATCATAATATTGACAACTTTAAAACTTTCATCATCCACTTAGAAATATAAAGAAGATTTGGTGATATATTAATATTGACAATGACTTCTTGTGATTTGGTTGTATTAAACTTTTATTTTTGTTTATTCTGAATTATGTTATGTACATGTTATTTTTTATTTATTTATTAGGATACATAATTTTATTTATGTTGTGTCATTCCTAGACTTTACACATTTAAATAACAGGAGTTTAAGTTCCAAAAAGTGGAAAAAAAAAATTTTGTTAGTGGGGCGGGCACGGGGGCACAGTATTTCCTAACGGGGCGGGGTTGGATATGAAAATCCAACCCGTCGCGGGTCTCGGGACGGGTATGGACTTGACAAAAATTAAAAGGGGCGGGGCGAGATTTAGAGAAACCTGCTCCAAACCCGCCCCGTTGCCATCCCTACTCGCGCATGCGTTTTGTTATAAAGTAAAATATTAAAACACTTCGTCAATAATAGTCCAAAATTAAAATACTAAAAGTTAATTTTTTTTTATTTTTTTATAATTATTTATGATCCAAAATCATAATATTGACAACTTTAAAACTTTCATCATCCACTTAGAAATATAAAGATGATTTGGTGATATATTAATATTGACAATGACGACAAATTACTCATACCATATGAGATCTATATGCACCATAGTTGTCATATATATATGAATTGTTTTGTAAAAAATAATAATAATAATAATTAAGGTAAAATTGTTTACAATTTACCTTAATACATAAGTAGTAATTCATATTAAATTTGAACCCTCATTATTCATTTTGGGAGGCAAATGATACGATTGAACCCCAAGGCACATGTGTAATTGTTAACCTAAGTTTTTTTTTTTTTTAAAGGTATCATTGACCTAACTTATAACCCAAGGAACACATACATTTTTTCGGAGGTGTCATGTTAGTATCTAATACGATGTCAAACATTCATATTTGACGGACACCACAAACATGTGTATCCTGCGTTTATAATTTAAAAATATTTTTTATTATTTTAAACACTTGGTTGATAAATTTTGGACATTTTTGGGATACATCTTGGACACTTGATCAAAACATTTAGAATACTCAATCAACATGTCACACATACATCTCGAACATTTTTCTTATAAGAAGTTGACATTAAAACACATGTATCCAAACGTAATGAACAAAAACATAACTATACCAACGGATTGGTAGTCTAGTGTTATTAAGTTCTTATTTTTTAAAGGAAGGTTATTAGTTTAAATTTCAATGAAGGCACGTGTATTAAGTCATGAATCACGATGGAAAATGTCGTAATCATATCCGTACTTTTCAAGAAATTCAATGTGTCTTTAAAAGTGACAAGTGAGCATTGATGTAACGAGCCAAAATAGTTGGCACCACATGGTGCGGTGCACACAATTGCCCAATTTGCAGGTTCATAGCCAAAGGTGCCTTTCTCTCCTCTCTATTAATTTATTTAGTTTTTTCTCAGTTTGTTCTAACACACCTGCCTCCAATGATCGAATTGTTTGCGCCTAACAAAAATTAATTATGCTTTATGAAACATCAGGCCAACCTCTTTGAGTTTTTTATTTTCCTAAAATAAAATATAAGTAACGTGTCCAACCAGATGGTTGGTTGGTGTAACAGGTAAACACTTGTTCAATTATCCAAAACTTTAAATTATTGGGTAATGTTACATATCCACACATTTATATTCATTTCACTTCCTATTTAGATTCTACGTGTGACAAGTCTCCCCTTATAATATTCTCCCCCATACGAACTTGCAATGCCCTCGTTGCAGTGGGGTCACTCTACCTATTTGAGTGGCTCACTCAAATGCTTTTTAAGGTGCGCGCTTAGCGTGACACCGGATCAAAAATTGAGTCTAACTCTGATCTTAAGTGTAACGAGTGAACGCTTACCCATTTATAAAAAATCTTAAACTATTAAGTAATACCATATACTCATTAATTTCACTTCTCAACCGAATATGAAGAGGGCTGTTATCTACTTAGATGGCCTATTTAAGTGGATAACAGCCAGACTTATCATGGGATTGGGTATAACTTTTATGAAGTCACCATCAAAAAAATAAAAAATTTAACCGAATGGGTCATGTCATGCTCATTTTAAATTGCTTTTTGTAATTTCACTTAATTAGAGGGAATATCAAATTATTTTTTTTGGGGTTAAAATAGAGGGAATATCAATGTAATTTACACAATAAATAAACAAAATGATAGGGCGAAAAACTTATCCGTGATATAAATAAACCAAGTAGGTGCCGTGCTAGCTTGTTTGTGTCAGTTTATCGTGTTACGTGTCTGGTAATAATTGGAAAATATGGGTCACATTTTCTTTTTTGGGCAAGGCTTCGCTGGTGATTTGAAAGGGTCTTTTTCAGTGTGATGAATATGTGGGTCAGATGGTGGTGTGTGCGAGTGGGGCAATAATTGTAGGGATGTGGTTGTCGCTTTGCATTATTAATGACATATCAAACAATGAACTTCAATTCACCTCCCAAAGAATCGAACATGACAAGTAGCTGTTGTTGATGACTTCTTGGTGAGAAATTTCAGAGTTATGGAGGAAGAAGAAGGAGGGGGGATTGAAGAGAGCGTTTACAAATTGGCGGGTAGTAGTGTTGGTGGGGATTCGAGGTGGGTTGATGGCAGTGAAGTGGACTCAGAATCTCCCCCGTGGTCACTTCTTGATGAGAATGAACCAATCAGAGAAGGGTATGGGTCTGGATCTGTTAGAAGAAGGCTTATCAAGAAGCCCAAGAGACTTGATTCCTTTGATGTTGAAGCCATGGAGATATCTGGCTCTCATGGACACAATTCCAAGGTACAAAAATCACCACTTTTCTCAAATTGCACACACACACACACATATATATATTGTGCCTTTTTCATACAAAAAAATTAATCCTCTTTTAGGTTCACAGCATGTTTGTTGTTTTGTTTAATTAGATTGTTCCTTTGATTTTGTCATTAAAAAATCCAACTTTCTGATCTTAGGGCTTGAAATGGGTATGTGATTTTTGAGCCCTAAGTTAATTATGTAATGCATAAGAAAAAGCATGTGACTGTGTGTGTTGGGTAGGCCTCTATTTTACTTTCATCTTTAGAAATTCCAAGTGTTTTATGGACAATGAAAAGGTTTGGTAGTGTCTTGAAAAGGGACTGGGATTGCTATGTAACTATTTTCTCAACTGGGTTGTGTGATTTTAGGTTCCTTGCACTCTGTGAAGTCTGTTTTGCTTGGCCTGGATATAGAAATGGAAGAACCATAATTATTCACAGTACTTAAGGATGCATTTGGAAGTAAGGTTAAAGAAAAAGTTTTTTTATTGCAGCTATAATGATTTCAAATGAACTAGTTAGGGCATATAGTTTGTGATTACTTTGTGTGAATTCCTCGCAATTAATCGGTCACAACATGCCATCTCCACACTGGGTCTGTTTTTAATTTGTTTGGTGAACCAGTGCAATTTTTGCTAATAATAAATTGTTTTGTGTGATTACAAATTGTGTATCTGGGTAGGAAAATTTCTCTTTTATATTTTGGGAGTGGGTATAGGGGAGGGAGTAATTTTCAAGAACATTTACAAGTAGAGATATGGTGTTTGGGGGCACAAAGAATTACTCAACCAATCCTTCGTTTCCAAGCTTAAACAATTAGGATGTGCATGCATAAAGCTTGGGCATAAGATTTATGGAATACTACCACTGAAATCTTAGCCAATCGGCCTCTTTAGTTTTTATTTAGGCAACAGCTGATTCTATCAAATTATTTACAACTGTAATGGGTGAATCAACAACCACCAAGTGAATTTACATATTAAAGCTTTATGACTTTTAGAAGCCATTCCCACTTGAATTTTGTTCCGACCTCATCCCAAAATTTACTATAATATTATGTACTCTTGTAACAGCTCAGCAGGTACTTTTGGGCCCTTCTATTTTTATTTTTTTTTCAATGACAGGATTCATTGCTTTAGAAGTAGTTGAAAATTAAATTTCCTATAAGCTAGTTAATTGCGATGAAAGGAATTAGTTCAAGCAATTGTCATGCTTTATGATGTGAAGCATAAAAATATGTTTCCTCGAAATGTCAAGGTTATCTTGATTTTATATGTCAGTGAAACGTACTACCCTTCTCTTACTAATTATACTACTTCAAAAATCAGGATGTTTCCATGTGGCAAACTTTTGCTCTGGCATTTCAAACACTCGGTGTCGTGTATGGTGACATGGGCACAAGTCCTTTATATGTCTTTTCTGATGTATTCAGCAAGGTGCCCATCACGTCAGATGTTGATGTATTGGGGGCACTGTCACTAGTAATGTACACAATTGCTTTGTTACCTTTAGCAAAATACGTTTTTATTGTGCTGAAAGCTAACGATAATGGGGAAGGTATGGTTTTATTGATCCAAGACATTTTCTTCTTTACGTGCATGATGCGATTGTATTTTGGTAGACCATGAGTTTGTTAACAAATCAAAACTCCACATGCAGGTGGAACATTCGCGCTATACTCACTCATCTGCAGGTATGCAGATGTTAATATGCTGCCAAATCGTCAGCAGGCTGATGAAATGATCTCCAGTTTTAGGCTCAAGCTGCCCACTCCAGAGTTGGAAAGGGCTTTGAATATAAAAGAAACCTTGGAAAAAAAGTCCTCCCTGAAAACCCTTCTATTACTCTTGGTTCTGATGGGAACTTCCATGATTATAGGGGATGGTATTCTAACCCCAGCAATATCAGGTATTTGAATTCTCCTAAAATTCATTCCTGGAATAATTTAAAGTTTGTACAAATATTTGCAGACATTTTATTGTTAGATGCAAGGCTTATACTATACCAGAACTGAACAATTAGATTTTGTTTTTATAACATTTGGTCTTACTAGTTGGTAAACTGGATCAGTAACTTACAGCTGCAAAAGCAAGACCTAGAGTTATTTGGGAGTGCACGCTTTAACAACTAACAAGAGTATGAAAATGCCCTAGAACTCCACCTAGTCTAGCTTTCTGAATTGGCAGGGGGTTTTCGCATTAAATTCTGTTGGGAAAGAAATGACTGCCAAGGGTTAACTGGAGATCCTCGTAGCCAACTCCAATTGATTGAGATAAATGCTTCTCTCAGTAGATTGGAAGCTTAAGCGATGATGCCTCATAAATCACTAGCATTTAAAAAATCAGTTACTGATTTTGATATAGTGGCATAATTCAAAATAAATAAACATATATTATAGGTGGAGTCCATGTATACCTTCACACACAATTTCAATGCATACTTGTGATGAGTTTTCATGAATAAACACAGTGAGAAGCAAGTCTGACTAAGATACTGTGAGATGAGATGCTCTAAAGCTTCTAAGAGAAGCGTTCATGAGTTCACCTGGATGGAAACCAACATAGATTTTCTGTAACCAGATATCAAGCTTTATTGTATGGTTGATATGAAGAATAAAAATGATAGGATTGGTTATGCAAGACGCTTGCTTGCCATTTGGAGATGGCAAAATCCTGTTATATTCTTATCAATTTCAACCAAAGATTAAGTTTTCATTATAGGTGCATAGATAAAAATTTTATCAATGTTTGTTGAATCTAAACTGTGGTTGAATATGTTTGAGGATGCAGCAAGTGGCATGGGCCGGATACAGTTCGCTGGAACGGGATCGGGTCGAACAATTGAAGTAGGATTCATGTCAAAGCGCCCCGGAATGGGCCGAACCTGGGGAATCCACCGAGGAAGATCAAGCCCATTAGAAGATCAAGCCCAGAAGGAAGAAAACTTTTGAATATAGGCCCAATGTAATCAGTTAACAACAATAATGGTAATGGCCTACAAATAGACCATTACAGGTGGAAAATAGGGGGAATTTTTCTGGATTCTATTGAAGGGTAAGAATTCTAGAGAGAGAGAAGAAACAAATTCTTGCATCTTCAATTGGCGCCGTCTGTGGGAATCGAGGACGAAGATCAATTCGAGCCCGATCAGTACCATATTAGTTCAGTCGAGTTTGTGAGTACACAGTGTGATTTCTGGAAGATGAATCCAGATCAGTGAGATTGTAGTCTGTTCAGAGAGAATTCTTGCTTATTGTGGATTCTGAGGCATTTGCTTTGGAACGACGCAATTGTGATTTGCTCAATTGCAGTCAGATCTGGTGAGTTTTTTTTTTTTTGATAAGTAAATTGTATTAAAAGCGTTCAAAAAGGGGAACGCGACCCAAACTATGCAAAGACAAAACGGGGCCTATGAATTCAAAGAGCTTATAAAGTCAACAAGCTCCTCGAGAGAGGAGTTGTCTCTCCCCTGACCCCAACAAAACAAATTACAAATGATGGAAAATTTTAACACCCCAATGGAGGATTCCTTTCCCTCAAAAGATCTTCCATTACGCTCTCTCCAAAGGTTCCACCAAATACAAAAGGGGATCATCCTCCAAAAAACTCTGACCCGAGCCCCCACCCATTGGCCCCTCCACATATCTAACAACTCCCAAGATGTCCGAGGCATGACCCAATGAATACCAAACAAGCCAAACATCAAACTCCAACAATCATGAGCCACAGGACAGTGCAACAAAAGATGATCCACCGACTCCCCATTAATCTTGCAAAGACAACACCTATTAACAATGATATGCCTTCTCTTCCTCAAGTTGTCCAAAGTCAAAATCTTACTCCAAGTTGCAGTCCACACAAAAAAGGCCACCCTAAGAGGCGCCTTAGACCTCCACACCGTCTTCCATGGGAATGAGGTACCATGAAAACCAGAAAGGCACACAAAAAAGGACCGGACCTGGAACATCCCTTGAGAGGAAGGCACCCAAATCAAAGAATCTGCCCCAGACCCCTCCACCTCCTGTTCGTAAAGAAGAGCCAAAAACCCAATGACATCATCCAGCTCCCAATCCTGAAAAGCTCGCCAGAAACGCACATCCCAAGACAACCATCCACTATCAAGGCGATAATAGTCAGCAACCATTGCATGTTTGTCAACAGCAATCCTAAAGAGCCTGGGAAACAAAATGGCCAAAGGCCTATCATCACACCATGGATCCTCCCAAAACCGGACAGTTCTTCCATCCCGAACTCTGAATCTAATATGTTTGGAAAAAGCATCCCACCCCTTACCAATGGCCCTCCACACCCCCACTCCGCTAACAGACCTGACTGATCTAGCTGACCACCCTCCTCTCTCCTCCCCAAAGCGACATGAGATAACCTTTCTCCATAATCTATGTCTTTCCTTACCAAATCTCCAAAGCCACTTACCAAGGAGAGCACAATTGAAAAGGGCCAATCTCCTAATTCCAAGCCCTCCCAACCGAATAGGCCTGCAAACCTGTTCCCATTTGACAAGATGATACTTGAACTCTTCTCCGCGACCCCCCCAAAGGAAATTACATTGGAGCATTTCTAGTCTTCCAACAATAGAGGCTGGAATACGAAAAAGCGAAAGAAAGTACGTTGGAAGGCTTGACAAAGTGCTCTTCACTAACGTAACTTTACCGCCCTTTCACAGATATTGTTTTTTCCAACCCGCTAATCTTCTCTCGACCCGCTCAATCACCGGGTTCCAACTTCCCACCCTCTTAGCTGAGTCCCCCAGCGGCAAACCCAAGTACGAGATGGGAAAGCGTTGCGTCCCACATCCTAGAACAGCAGTTCAGATCTAGCAAACAGTGATCACGATTCGGTGAAGTTAAGCCCAGATCTAACGGAGTTTGCATCGGTGACCCTTAGATCTGTTTCGGAGTTCATAATTCATGCCTTTGCTTTGATCTTGAATCATGATAGGGGGTGACAACTCCAATACGGTTGAGAACGTCCAGCAAGTGAAACTTGATGAGTTGATGAACATGATCGAAGCTCTCTGGAGAGAAAATGCGGATCTAAGGGCTGAAATGCAGCGTCAAGAAGCTCCAGTAATTCCACGACCACTCCCGGTAGGAGAAGAAGGTGCACGTACTGATGCAGCACTTCACGGTGAGGAGGCTGGAAACAATCTAGTAGATCCTCACCGCGAGGAAATCCGGCGAGACGGTTTGCCGCCAAATCTTCGTCGTATTGATGATCGAGAAGGATCAACTCACATAGATCCACGGCGTGAGCAGAACAGGCGAAACGAAGCAATGACTTTTGATCCACATCAAGAAACGCTCAGTCGAGGTGAAGCAACAGAGTTGAATCGTCACAAAACTATGCCTCCATGGCGCAAAAACTTTGTTGAGGACAGGTCATTTGATCCGACCTATCGGCCTTCCATGACGACGTTCGACTATCACAGCTCAGAGAGGAGATCAGTTGACCAGAGAGCAGCCGCGGGGTTCCAGAGGGAAAATGAAGCACTCCGTTCAGCAGCTCGAACGGTTGATTCATCGTTCACTGATGAGATTCTGAATGCTCCGAGTCCGAGGAAATTTTCTATGCCTGTTTTCATTCTGTTCGACGGAACGACTGATCCGATAGATCACGTGTATCACATCCAGTTGAAAATGGCTCTAAACACTGAGAATGACTCTTTGATGTGCAAGTGTTTTCCTACGAGTCTGGCCGGACCAGCTCTGAATTGGTTCAAGAACCTGCCGAGGGGTTCGGTGGATAGTTTCCGAAGCTTGTGTGATCGGTTCATAATCCAATACTATGGAAACAAGCGTCCAGCGAAAGATATTTCGAGCCTATTCACAATGAAGCAACATGCTGATGAACGTCTCCAGGCTTTCCTAACCAGGCTTAACCTTACCAAGAGCATGGTTATTGAATGTCACCCTTCAACGGCAGTTCAAGCATTCATACTGGCCATGAACCGTGGCACCCCATTCCACACAAGCTTGGTGGTGAACACGCCGAAGACTATGGATGAACTTAACGAAAGAGCCGATGGATTTGTGCGCTTGGAAGAAGAAGAGGCAGCAAAAGCTCGGAAGACATCCCTCATATCCACGGAAGAAAAGACCAAAGCAAAGATCAGGCAAAAACAGATTCAGCCGCAACGCTCCTCGTGGAAATCAGAGAAGAGGCCCAGAGAGGAAGAGCTGGTTACTCCATTGAAAGTTACCCTAGCGAGATTGTACCAAGAAAATAAAGATAAGTTCCGACCTCCTTTACCAATCAGACAATCTCTCGAACAGAGGGATCAGTCTAAGAACTGTGCATTTCATTCTGATTTTGGCCACCAGACTAACGAATGCAGGAACCTAAGGAGACAGGTAGAGATGCTGATAGCCAGAGGGGAGTTCGCAAGTTATATTCAAGGACCAGCGGTGGAGCAAAACCGACCAATGGAGCACGTGAAGAAGAATCAGAAGTCGAATTCTCACAACGTTCAACCAGTTTGAGTAATCAATGCAATTCACGGTCGGCCAGAACCTGCCGAGGAGTCAGATAAACTGCTTCTAACACGCCTTCGCCAGGCACGGATGAAGAGAAGGATAGGCAGTGTAAACACTCCGCACCAATAGAGCGCATCAACGCAGATAAAGTTTGACGTAACAGACTTGTTGCGTGTTCAGATCCCTCATGAGGACCCGCTGGTAGTAAGTTTGACAGTGGCCAAATGCTTGGTGCGCAGAGTTCTAATTGACCCTGGAAGTAGTGCGAACATCATGCCAAGAGATACATTCGATCGGCTCGAGATCAAACAGGATCGGCTGAAATCCACCGGGAATCCACTACTAGGGTTTGATGGAAAGCGAGTGGAGCCCGTTGGCACGGTGGAGGTAGCGGTACATGCTGCCGAAAGGGTTT